TGCCTCTCTGTGTCTTTTCTATAATTGTGTGTGTTTGTGTGTGTGTGTGTGTGTGTGTGTGTGTGTGAGAGAGAGAGAGAGAGTCTGAGAAACAAACACACGTATATTTTTTCTTAGTGAAATTGGAGTGGATTTGAACAGCGAAATTAGATCAGAGCATTTTTGTTTACTGATGGTGAAACCTGATCTAGGGCAGGAGCTGTGCCCATTGGAACTGGGTCATTAGGAGACAAAGGAAATGAATTTTATTGATTAAAACTTGGAATAGAGCTGAGTAAGCAAGGAGGACCTTTTGAATTCACATGATTTTGGTTGAAACAGCCAAAACCCCGTGATAATCACGTCCGAAGTAGTAGGGCCAAGATTCAGTTGTAACTAACTGGATTTTTTCTATATAAACGCGTAGATATGTTGAAAAAGAGGCAGACGGAAGAGGTAGATAGAAGTGAGAGACAGAAGAGAATTAGCCCAGGCAAGAGTTGGGCTAGAGACAGTGGAGAGTCGAGTTGGAGACTGAAGAAGTAGAGAAAGTAATGTCAGAGATTGGAACGAAGCGTCCGCTAAAATGTGCTGTTGATATAAGTACTGCTGCTTTTGCTACCATGAATATTACTACTACTGCTAAAGAGGAACGCCACTATAAACTTTAAACCGCGCACAGAAATCTTATTCCCCCATCGCAAGAGTCGTATATCGTTCTGAGACGATTTAACAACAAGTTAATCATAACACACTCTCTCTCTGTCCAGAATCCAGTGTATGCATTTTTACGTCAATTACTTTTCTTTTCTGTAACCCGTTTTCTTTTCTATACTATTCTTTTCTGCTATATAAAAGACATTAACAATTCAGTCATTGAATAGTTGTTTGTCCGGCTTTCTGCAGATATTAATTTTTTTTTTCTGCATTCTAAATTTCTTAGCGCGGACTCTCCAGCCGTGTCTACATCTTCAGTCGACTGTGAATGGATGAACATCACTTCTGCTTTCTGGATCAAACCAAACACAACGTGGGCAGGAAGCAGGATTAAACCAGTGGACCGGTCGAGTAATCTATGGATTCTCAGGGCATGAAACCGTCTCTTCTTCTCTATGGATTAAATAGCAGGGTAGATTGGTTTCTCTAGCCTTGTGTGAAAACAAGTCTAATGGATAGAAAACGGGAAAAGCCAAAAGGAAACCACGTTACTATTTATCTCAACAATGCATGTTAATTCACAGATAATAAAGAAAAGGAAACTGTGGAGAATCATGATCGCCTATATCCTGAAGGGACATGGCATTATAATCGTAGCAAACAGAAAATTAAGAATTAAAGCATCTCGGCTTTGGCACTGGGATCAAAGTGTAGAATCTGCATTCAGGCAGATTACATTTCATCTCTCAGTTGTGTTTCTGTCTTCGGACAGAACACAACGAATAAATGAAGGATGCCTAGTCCCGGGGATTCCAACCCTGCGTCAGCACCTCCCTCATTGCACCGAAGAGGGAGGGTCGGTGGAATATAGTGGTTGGTTGCGGGGGCTGGGCATTGTTGGACTTGGCCCATGTGCCCGCGTTTAGGCTCCGCATTTTAAACCGGACCCGTGCCATATCCCGTCACCGTGTCAGGGTGGGGGTCGTGTATCTGTTCTCTTTAATCTAAATGAAGTAGAAGCTTGGTCCCTGGGATTGCAACTTTGCACCAGCACCTTCCCCATAGTAATAAAAGGAGAGGGTTGATAGATGCCGACGTCAGCGTGGCAGTAGTCGCGGGAATTGGGCACCATTTGTTGTTGGCCTATATATACATATGATGGTACACCACATTAAAATTATCCTTGTGTCACATACTACCATTGTGGGCAGGTGCATAATCCAGTCTCTGTCTCGAATTCGGTCCTCTGTCGTCTCTGTTTCGAATTTAATCCTCTGTCACTGCCTTCAATTCCGTCCTCAAATTCCGTCCTCTGTCTCTGCCTTGAATTCCGTCTTCAAATTCCGTCCTCTATCTCTGCCTTAAATTATGTCCTCAAATTCCGTCCTCAGTCTCTACCTTGAATTCCGTCTTCAAATTCTGTCCTATGTCTCTGCCTTGAATTCCTTCCTCAAATTCATCCCTCTGTCTCTTCCTTAAATTCGGTCCTCAAATTCCGTCCTCGGTCTCTGCCTTGAATTCCATCCTCAAATTCCGTCCTCTGTCTCTGCTTTGAATTCTGTCCTCAAATACTGTCCTCTGTATCTGCCTTAATTACGTCCTCAAATTCCGTCCTCAGTCTCTTCCTTAAATTCGGTCCTCAAATTCCGTCCTCAGTCTCTGCCTTGAATTCAGTCCTCAAATTCCGTCCTCTGTCTCTGCTTTGAATTCTGTCCTCAAATACTCTCCTCTGTATCTGCCTTGAATTACGTCCTCAAATTCCGTCCTCTGTCTCTTCCTTAAATTCGGTCCTCAAATTTCGTCCTCAGTCTCTGCCTTGAATTCCGTCCTCAAATTCCGTCCTCTGTCTCTGCTTTGAATTCTGTCCTCAAATACTGTCCTCTGTATCTGCCTTGAATTACGTCCTCAAATTCCGTCCCTCTCTCTGCCTTGAATTCCGTCCTCAAATTACGTTCTCTGTCTCTACTTCGAATTCCGTCTTCAAAGTCCGCCCTCAAATTCCGTCCTCTGTCTCTGCTTTGAATTCCGACCTCAAATACCGTTCTCTGTCTCTGCCTTAAATTCCATCCTCAAATTCCGTCTTCTGTCTCTGATTTGAATTCCGTCCTCAAATTCCATCCCTTGTCTTTCTTCAAATTCCGTCCTCTGACTCTGCGTAAAATTCTACCTAATTTAGAATTCTATTATCTTAACAAAAAATACGTTTTTCCATGTGAAATTTAAATTTTGAATCGTAGTTGTACATGGCATAACTTTAATTATAATTCATTATTTTACAATTATTTGTTTAGTTTGATATAATGCTATCCATAGCTTTACTTTCGATGCTTACAGAGAAACATTTTTTTTAATTAATTAAGTCTTAACCATATTCCTCGCGGTGAATTTCTTGGTAAGTGACTTTCTTGGTAGATAGTTGCATATTCTCCACTTGCATCAGTGACATAAAAACGAAAGACGAAATCTTATCACCGCACATCACAATTTCCTTCCTTTTGCTATACTGACGTCAGTTTTAGAGTCTATATTTTTAAATCATGTCATCCCCAAGCCAGGTAATAATGCCACAAAGACGTAAAGGGTGGGAGAATATGTGGAAAAGAAAAACATTATTAAGGCGAGAAAACTACAGAAGAAGAATTAAGACGACATAGAATGACGATTGACATTGTATTTAATATTTGAAGATCAACTTTGACGTTCAAAAATTTAAGAAGCCAGAAGCCAAAAGAGAGAAGAAACTGTTAGAATAGAACTTATGGTTACATCTAGCCATTTCAACAGTAAAAATAATGAAATCTTACCGCCAATCTAATAATGTGCTTAAATTCATGAAGTCTAGGTACCATAAAGAAAAGTTCGACAGAACAATTACCATGAAAATATTTATAGAAAAGGTACAGGGAAGCTACATTACGGAGTTGGGAAAGTGACTGAATACGAGATGCCATGTCAGGACCAATAAAATTGCAGATTCTTCTTTGTATTTTATCAAGAATCTCTAAATACATAGCAGTTCAATAGAAAGTGTACTTAATTAACAGAAAGAGATTTTCCAAGCCCTCTTTCCTCTTTATGTCCTCCAGAAATTCCAACTGTGTCTTCCTGATGTTAAGTATAAGTGTCCTTTTTGTTACCTTGTTCTCTGAAACTTTGTCATTTCTCACATGTTCGGTTCATGGTATTCTATGTCCATCTTTCCCATCTATTACTCTTTTCCCCCTCTCCTTTTTTTTTTTGGTTCCATTTTTAAAATTCTTTCTTTTTTTCTTTGTTTGTTTGTTTGTTCCTTTCTTTCTTTCTTTCTTTCTTTCTTTCTTTCTTTCTTTCTTAACTCTTCTCTTTTTGCATTTCTTTCTTTCCTCCTTTACTCTCTTTCTGAATTTCTATCTCTCTGTCTTTCTCTCAAACTGTCCAAGCCATCTTTCCTCTTTATGTCCTCTAGACATTCCAACTGTCGCTTTCTGATGTTAAGTATAAGTGTCCTTTTTTGTCACCATTTTCTCTGAAACTTCGTCTTTGCTCACATACCAGCACTGCGTTTAAATTCATAAAGTCTAGGGACATTTTAGAACAATTGCCATGAAAATATGTATAGAACCGGCACACGCTAGCTACGAAACGGCGGTAGGAAAGCGAATGAAACCGAGATGCTTGGTCAGGATTGATAACATTGCAGATTCTTCTCTGTATTTTATTAAGACTCTTAATTCATAGCCGAAGCACCAAGACCAGATGTGGTAGCAATATTCAATGGATGGAAGAATGGTAGACTTATAAATGTGTCAGATAGATTCTGACAATTAAAAAAACTTTTATCACGGCACAGTGAATAGGAAAACGAAAGACGTTGCATAATTGGTAATAAAACCTGTATTTTTGAAGGAACTCAAAGATTTTGTTTGAATAATATTGCAAATACAATCGTCGAGTTTAAACCCCAGAGAAGAGAACGAACGGGTAATAGAAATCTTTGAAATTCGTAGCTGAAGTGAGAAAAACAAACAGTCCAAAGCAAAGAATGCCTACCAAAAACAAATCCAATATTCAATAAATCAAAACGTTAGTCATAAAATACACTCTTTATGTCAAAATCCAACTGGGCACACTTTTCACTGCTAGTTGGTTTCGGGTTTTTAAAATGATTAATTATTGTGTTATACTTTGTGTTTACGCATCTTACTAATTATCTCTGAACTGCCAGGTCTGGGCTACCATGAAAAGCGTTATAACAGCCACATTAAGGCGACATCGGAACACAGTTCGAGGCAAAATCAAACCCGACAGAAACTACGTAAAGATCTTTAGCGGGGCCGGATTAACAACTCTTGGTGCCGTGTACATAGCTTAATGCTAACCATTCGGATCATACCACATTGAAACGCCGTTTCTCGTACGAGCACCGAAGTCAAGCCTAGTCAGTACCTAGATGGGTGATCGTTTGGGAATACTAGGTGCTGTAAGCTTATATGTGCAACTGGTGTAATGGATAATGGATTAGAATTGGGAATCGGAGAACCGAGTTCGAATTCCAGATGGGTTAATTTACGCGCAAATACCCATTAGGAAAGGCATGAAACCACCTTTTCTCTCTGCCCAGCTATAGGTTAATTAGTAGGACTCGTATCAGTGAATCATTATTATCTTTAAAAATTCTTAAAGTCTAAAAATATTTTATGGCGTTAATTAACCCGCAAACGGTTGATAAGTAGTAAAAAACAAATAAATCATCTAGATTCCAACTCAAGCCAAACGATGTCAACTTTTTCCCTGGGAAACTCCATTGGAAATAGTTAAAGGAAACTCAATTTTACTTGACTCAGTAAAACAAAGAAACTAAAGCTATGAATTATCAAACAATTCTAATATAAAAATAATATTTTATTGACAAAATATTTAAACGACTAAAAAGCTAATTTACCTTCACATATATATGTTAAAAAGCTTTGTTCTTAGTATCAAATAAATCTATGTTCATTCAAAAGGCTTGGGTCGTCCTGGGTATGATGATAAACTACATCCGGCAGCAAGGCCTCTGATCGAGAGATTGGAAGTTTTGAGGAGCCTTGAACCACTTCTTTATTGCTGTTGTTCCCAGGTTCAGCCTTACCCGTGGTGTTTGCATTTGTTAGGGCCCCAGCTATGGTCAAATAATGAATCCCAAAACTGGGGTCAAAACACCATGAAATTGTAGAAACACATGTTTATAGTGAAGGTGCCAGCAAAACATTTCCATAGTAAAAAGAATTACGAGCAATACGTTTTATATGAGGAAATAAAAATTTCCAGCAATAAACTTTTTTAAAATAAATTACTAATGCTCCCAAGAAAATTAAATTTCAGCATTAAATGACCCATAAGGATGTTGATATGCCGTTAAACAAATAAAACAAACAAACAAGGCTCGTATTAACCACGGGTATGTTTTTCAGTTACTTCTCAACTGTTATGGTCCAGGTTAGGACCAAGGAAGAACAACACGAACACAAGAGTAAAAATAACGAAGGTGTATTACACGAAATAATAATACAAGATGTGGAAGGTGTTAGTATGACTGTCAGTCTGGTTTGGAGTGAACGACTATCGGCTCGACTCGATACGTCCCTTTCTCTTGAGAGGCGTAGTATACATAGTGTTAGGAGTTCATTCTGTAGTTATAGGTAAGGACCCATGACACTAACGGTGCCGCAGATTGGGTACGTCTCCCGATAGCGATATTATAAAATAGTCTCTTCATTAACAAATTAACTATGGTAAGATTCAAACTCGGCTTTCATGGTCGTTGGGAAGTCATCAGAAATGATCGATTGTCACATGACATTGTGACCAATACTGACCTTGTTCAAACTATTGATCACGACAGATAATGCGTCCACTTCCAGAAACTGTAACAAAGGTACGATCAGAATGGTTACAGTACAAAACACAGGTTGTCTGTGTGGTTATTGAATAAAAACAAATGTTTCTGAGCAGGCGTCTGCAACAGGGATTAGCTCTAGCAGACAGGCATACTTGGTTACGAGCAACCAGACATACAGACATTTGGTAGAGCATATCGACTATAAAAAAGTCTGGAGTTCGATTAACGGCAGAAACTTTTGTGGCTATATCACTCATCATCTTTGAATTCAGCGATGAAAGATAGAAAGGCATTTACTGAATTATAGTAAGATTAAAACCTTCAAAGTTGAAAAGCGATGCCTTATATAAAAGATTTATTATAAATCGTGTCTTCAAAAATATTTAATACAAACGATTACATTCTTTTTCTCTTCTTTCATTCTCTTTTTCAATCCATATAAATCGAGGCTGAATTTATGATTTAAAGGAACGAGAAGCCTCAACCACTTCTTTGATGCTTTTGATGCAATTGGTTGATGCTTTAAACTGAAAGTATAAAACAGTTTTCACTGTTATGTGGCTAGAAAATTCATTCCTCGTCGTTTTAACAGAACAGTTACATGTTCGTGTCTCTCTCTTCTCTCGTTCTCCTTTCAATCCATATCGAGGTTGAGTGTATGATTTACAGAAATGAAAGCCTCGACCTCTTGTTAATCAATTGGTTGATGCTTTAAACTGAATGTACAAAACAGTTTTCACTCTTCTGTGACGAGTACCTCCTTCTAATAGAATGATTACGTGTTCTTCAATTAATTGGCAGCCAGTATGTCAACATTCCGTTGTGTTCGTGTGTTTAACTCCAGAAAAGGCAATCCTAAACCTGAAAAAAAGACTCTAATCAGTGCATTCTTAGTTATTCAGATACTAAAACTACATTGGATGTGTTGGCGGTAAAAATTAGTCTTGAAGAGTTCAATTTGCTTTTCATTTCTTTCATTTTTTTTTTCAATCCGCTGCCATTAACGTGAAAGAGAGAATTTGTTCATGAACGTGGCGTTGGTAAAGTGAAACAACGGGTCAGACGAGACAAACGGAGTTTTCTTCCGCGCCGTGTTATGACGTCACATTACCATAACTTGCTTCCTCCGTTGACTATTTTCTCAAGCAAATCAAAGAGAGACGTCGAATAAAAATGTGACTCCCATTAAGCAAATATCATCAGGGCTTTCTTTGAGTGCAAGAGGATTTAAACATTTGGAGATTTGATCCAATCAAGAAGACTTAACCTTTACAAGGTATGTTTATTTGCAATTACTTTTAGACACTCAAAAGAAAAAAATATGACAGCCAAAATAAACTGATAGCTTAAGTAGAGGACATCTAATATATAAAGTTTACGTGTGTACACTTGAAAACTTTAAAATGATATATATATATATATATATATATATATATATATATGTATAACAATAATATATAATTAAACAATAATATAATAATATATAATTAACCAACGTAAAACAAACGCTTATTAATAATAATATTTCCTAATATATATATATATATATATATATAGCTCAAAATATTATAAAATTTATAAAATTTAAAGTTTTAAAGTTTATATATATATATATATATATATATATATATATATATATATATATATATATATATATATTTCCTGGTGCCTCAACTATATGAATTTAAGCGTGCTACTAGATTGGCATCTAGGTCCCATCGATCCGTTTACTGTTGAAATAGCTAAATGCAACTACCACTTCTACTACAACAGTTTTTTTTTCTTGCACTTCCAATCTGTGGAACACCCTTCCGTTTATTTGACTTCCTGATAAAAGCAATCTTCAAATATTTAAATGCAACGTCAATCGCCATCTTCTATCATCTTGGATTCCGTTCATCTGTTGTCCTTTCTTCAATCCTCCCTATAATCAGTCTTTTCTTTCACCTTCACTCGCAGTAACCCCACTGCGTACAAGTAGAATTCCCGCCTTGCTTGGTGTGAAATGGTGTGAAATGATATATTATATATATATATATATATATATATATATATATATATATATATATATATATTTCTGCAGCATATCTTCATTCAAGCATGTTTGGTTGAATACCTTCGACATATGTTTATTTATTTTAATTTTAATCCTCTCAAACTAACGAATTAATTACTTAGTGTTGTTACAAAACTGATTAAGAAAGAAGCCGTAGTTTTGGTTATTTCTTTTATTTTCTCAAGTACTTTCAGTCTCGTCCAAGATCATCTTCAGGAGTGAATTGCTAAAGCAAAAAAAAATAAAAAAAATAATGTAATTGATAGTCATGAATTTTTTTGTAAATGCGCATGAAACGCGCTCCGTTATAGTCAATTTAATATATATATATATATATATATATATATATATATATATATATATATATATATATAATTGTTGTCTGTTCGTCAGTACGTTAATATTACGTAAACTTGATATCAAGTAAATGCAGCTTTATTATTTGCATCTATCAGCATGTGTCTTATATAATATCCAACTTAGCGATTCTTGCTTATTTGAGATAAATACCTCATATATTCATTTTTTTTTAAAATACGTTTTTTCTTCATTTACAATCTAGTCTTTTGCGATTTTTATAAACAACGATTTATTGATAGCCTTTATGATTAAACTGCCAAATAGAGACTTGTTTGCCTTATATGTGGTAACGATCTTAGCATTAAGATCCCAGCTTTTAGGTAAAAGGAAGCAAATAATGTATTTAGGGAAGCGAGTATCATAGCATATAGTGGAAAATCTAAAAAATATTATGACGAGCCGGATATGAAATAAAAGGCAACCAAAATGTATAAACCTATGGAACTGCTGTATTTACGGCCATTTTGTTTAACACTTAATATACCAAGCCTAGGTCGTCAATGTTGATTCATCGGAGGACCCCATAGTTTTTCTTTTATTTCTCAGTGTTTGTTCCGGTAGATTATTCAAAATAGATTTTCTGGGTTTTTGAACCTATATTTCAGCATTTTTTGTTTAACAATATTTTGTTTATTTATTTCAGCAGTAGTAATAGTGTTGTAATGGAATGTCCAATTCTCCCTATCGCCTATTGTGGACTGACTATATCAGTAGATTTATATATATATAGTAAGCACAAGATATACCTGGGGTACTTGCTTCGGCAATTTGTTGGAGATTCGTCTCCACCTATGCTAGTCGAACTCTCTGCCTTCGGGCAGAGAGGAACCCAGACGAGGCTATGCCGAAGGGCAGAGTCTCGTTTGAGATGGTAGACAGCTACCCGACCCCATGAATAGGGGGTCTACAGGGAATTTTTCCCCGAGCCTACGGACTCGGATACTCCACGTTAAGTTCGGCCTTGTTCCACATCAGACCGCGTGGGCAGTTGGCAAATATCCTTGCTTCGGCAATTGACTAACTGGAATCTGTTCCAGCTGTGCTGTTGAACTCTCAGGCAGAGAGGAACCCGGATGAGACTATGCTGAGGGGCAGAGTCTCGTCTGGGAAGGTAGACAGACCTAAACCCGTTTATGCGGGTTATACGGGGAATTTTTGGCCCAGCTAAAACTCGTTAAACTCGGCCTT